CTTGCAGCACCTTCTCTTTCATCTGGTAATTTTGGAATTTTGCTATTATATTTCTTGGCGTTGTCAATTTGGGATCTCTTTCAGGTGGTGATCGGTGGATTCTTTCTATGGTTATTTTCCCTTCTGGTTCTAGGACTTCCAGGCAGTTTTCCTTTATGATTTCCTGAAAGATACTGTCCAGGCTCTTTTTTTCATCATGATTTTCAGGTAGTCCAATAATTTTTAAATTGTCTCTCCTGAGTCGATTTTCCAGGTCGGTTGTTTTACTGATGAGGTATTTTACATTTTCATCTATTTTTTCATTTTTTTGTTTCTGTTTGACTGATTCTTGCTCTCTCATAGAGACATTAGTTTCCATTTGTCCAATTCTAGTTTTTAACAGATTGTTTTCTTCTGTTAGTTTTTGTACTTCCTTCTTCAATTGGCCAATTGTGTTTTTTAGGGACTTGTTTTCTTCAGTGTATTTTTTTTCCAATTGGCCAATTGTATTTTTGAAGGACTCTTCTACCTCTCTCATTTGACTATTAAAATCCTTCTTGAGCTCTTCTAAGAAGGCTTTTTGGGCTTCAGACCAGTTCATATTCCCTTTTGTTGTTGCAGATGTGGGTTTGTTGACAATGTTGTCCTCTTCAGAATTTCTGTCTTGATCTTCACTCTTCTCATAATATGAATCTACGTTTCTTTTTACTCATGGTGTTTCTTTATTCCCTGGCCTTTAAAGAGATTGAGCTCTCCTGCTGGGGAACAGAGGGCACTGACCCAAGCTTCTTGTGTTGGGAGCCTAGGTCTTGGTCACTGGCTTTTGTGCTGGGGCCTCTTATGCTGGCAATTGGAGGCTGTAGGTTTCTGGCAGCTTACCTCTGTTGGGCTGGAATCAGCAAGGCTGGAACTTTCAGGCAATTCTAGGTTGCCTGCTTTTCCTTTCCTTTAGCTTTCTTCAGCTCCTTTTAGATGGGTGCTGCAGGTGTTTATCTGCCTGGGGCCCCTGCAGTGTTGTCTCCCTCTTTCTGCTAATGCACTGGGAGATTCCTTTGGTAGAGTGCCGAGGCACCTGGTGGTTTTCTGAGCTGGTTTCCAGGTTCCCCCCCCTCACTGAGGCACTCGGAGGTCCAGGTGTTGGTGTTTGCCTGCTCTACCACCTGGGCTTCAGGATTTCTTCACAATTGGAGGCTGCAGGGCTCCGACAGCTCACCTGGTGTTGGGTTGGAATCAGCAAGGCCGGGGCTTTAGGAAGCCTTTAGGTTGTTTTCTTCACCTTTTCAGATGAATGCCACAGGGTACTTATCTGCCTGGGCCTTGTAGTTCTGCCTCTATTTTTGCTGAGGCACTGGGAGACCCATTTGCTGGGCTGCTGCACTGCTGCTCCCGTCTTTCTTCTAGTTCAGGTGTTCCAGGGTTTTTTTCTGGGGTGATATTTTCTGGGTTTTCAGAGGTTGATAGGGGAGAGTGAGAGCGACTACCTTTACACTCCGCCATCTTGGCTCCCAGGAGCAGAACCATCCTCAGCTGATATCAAAGAGCTCTTCCAAAGGGCCATTTTCTTGTAAGATAAAACAAGAGCAAACACACAAACATCTCCCCCCACTTAGCGTCTCAGGGACACCCTCTTACTTCAGCTCCTACATAACATTGGTCCCTCGGGTCTAATTAACTTTTTAGGATGTCATGCTTCATTGTTGACTCGTTGAGTTTACAATCAACAAAATACTCCAAATTATTTCCACTTAAGCCTCAGTCTTGCTCTGATTCTGTACTTTTTCAGTTGTGTGTGGGTTGGTGGGGGTTTTGGGTTTTTTTTTTTTGCATTTGTAGCACACTTCCAACATGACTGGACCCCTCTCTTTCAGGCCACTCCCTCTGAATCCTTGGCTTTGCTGGGCATGGCCCCAGAGCTGCCCATGCCACAGCCTTTCCACCCCATCTCTGAATCAGGTGGTAGGCTGCTGCCATCTGCTGGAACAGTCCTCATGCTACAGCTTTTATTTTTCCCCAAGAAGGTGGAAGGAGGTCAATGTGCCTGGGGGAGATAGTCAAGGCATTTTCAGCCCTTTTGTTATTTGGGCATCGATCACAACATCCAGCTAACAGATAGCTAACAAGATCATTTCTTTCTTCTATTTTATTGACATTTTTCTAATTGCATTTTAATTTCCAAATATAGCTAACCCCACCCCACAGCCACCTATACATACAGCCATCCCTCAGAACAAAGAATGAAAAAGAGCCCCCTCCCCCGAGTCCTCAGTCTTAGCTGAGTTTGGGAGAGTGGATTTCCATCATGCCCCTGACAGCTAAGGCCCTGGCCTGGCAAATTGCCTTAAAGCTTCAGGAAGCCTCAAGGAGGCATTTAGCAATGCTAAAAGGAAACAGCGGAAGCTGGTAATTTCCCTCCTGTGTTCTTGCTGCTAAGGGAAAGGTTCTTGTTCCAGTTACACATTTACTTCTGCTAAAATTAATCTAATTAGCACTGGTCTAGCCAATAAGCAAAAACTGGTTGCTGAAGTAAAAATGACAGGAACTTTGGAGGAAAGTGACCACCCCATCTTGGGACGAAAACAGACGCTGTGGGCCCAGGGGAAGCTGGGTCTTCCCCCTTTCCCACTAAGGGTCCCCTATTTCACATGCAGATCAGGTTCAGCCCTGGGGGAACTTGGCCAAGAAGGCGTCAGACTCTCAGACTCCTGGTTCTTTATGCTCCCGCCCCAGAACCCAGAGGGAAATGACCTAAAGCGTAAGCTTTGTTGCTGTTCAGTTATTGCAATTGTGTCCAACTCTCTGTGACCCCATTTGGATTTTCTTGACTAGGATACTGCAGTGGTCTGCTATCTCCCTCTCCAATTCACTTTGTAGATGAGAAAATTGAGGCAAACAGGGTGACATGACTTGCCCAAGATCACACAGCTAGTAAGTGTCTGAGGCCAGATTTGAACTCAGGGAGATGAGTTGCATTGCACTCTGTGCACTATGGCGCCACCTAGCTGCCCCTAATCACAAGTTTGATTCCTGTCTAAGGTTTCTCCTAAAGGCGTCAGAAAAGGTACTAAATAAGGTATAGGACAGCTATTTATTCCTCCAAACAAAAGAAATGCTTAAAACACAAAGAATTCGTTAAGTGCACATTGACAAAAATTCAAAACATGAAACAATAATCAATAAGTCCTATTACATTCTCAGGAGGTTAATACTTAAAGCATGGGACATTTAATGAGATGATTGAACGGGCATTTCACCTTTACCTCAGCTCTGCACTGTTGGGAGAGCCCCCTCAAGGCCCTTGTATTCTGTAGTCTAGGACAGGGCTTGGACTCTTGCTCCTCTAGGTGCAGGTCATCTTCTGACCTTCCACTACTGTGTAACCAGCGTCACCTGAGGAACCCAGAAGCTCCTGACCTCCCAATCATGAGGTTGCCTTCCAGGTTGGAAACCTCCATCTCAGTAGGGCTGCTTAGTCACCTGTGCTCAGGCAAGGAGACAGAAAGAAGACACAGCCAGGGTCTAAGGGCCCAGGCTCCTCCTTACCTTAGTAGCCCATACACCCACTGCTCCTCTGAATCCTATCACAGGAAGTTCCAGAGAGAGCTCCACATCTTATGTTCCAAAGAGAGGAAAGAAAAGAGCAGGAGAATTGTTCCCTTTAAAGGCAAGTGAGTGAGTGAGTCATCCTTCCTGGCTCTGTGATCAATGCTCTGACGCAGGCACCTCTCGCTGCTGTTGTGGGACGTGGTATCCATGAGGAGATCGCTTCATGATCCCAAAGAGGGAGTCTGTCAGCACCGGTCAGTTTACGACAACTAACGGGGTCAGTGGGAGAGGCCTGTGAAGCGAGCATGGAGGCTAGCCTGGAGCACACCATGACTTAGCCGAGGCAGTGTTTATTTCTTGTGGCCACAAGAGAAGATCAGCGCCATGAACGTGCTGATGAGTGTCATTGTCAAGGTCATCATCCAAGCAGAGTGTTTTAGAGTTTGCAAAGTACTTCACAAATATTATCTCATATTTATAAAAATGTAGAGCAGAGCAATTGCCAATAAGCTTTTGAAAATACAGAAAACTCAAATGAAGGTGGTACAGAATTGACAAGATTGAAGAAGGCAGAGCTGGTGGGCCACAACTGGCTTGTGATGGGAACACTTCGGGTGAGTGGGCACCTTCCCACAGTTCTCTTCAGAGGCAACCAAGTTTCCACATGGAAAACACATGTTTTATCGTCCTTCACCGGGACTGTGAAGCAGTTTGCCGTCACAGCCCCAGAACCTGGATTCCAGAGAGTCAACAAAACAATCCACACCTTCAAGGAACCCAAAGTAACATTGCTCTACCTGAACAGAAAACAACATAGTTTGCAAGAAAGATTGAGGAGGGGCAGCTAGGTGGCACAGCGGATAGCACACTAGACCAGGAGTCAGGAGGACCTGAGTTCAGATGTGAACTCAAACACTTGACACTAGCTATGTGACTCTGGGCAAGTCACTTCACCCTGATTGCCTTATAGAAAAAAAAAAATTGGGGAGGATGAGAGAGAAGCCACAGGAGTAGAGAAAGGAAGCAGGCGTTCCAGTCTCATAAAGGGGAGAAGCTGGGCGCGTCTAGATCCTACCCAGGCCACGGCTTGATGCTGATCCCTAGGAAAATGCTCTAATGTATAATTAAAGGGATGGTTTGTCCGGATTTAGAAATGGAGCTAGCGGTCCCTAAAAGGTAGCGTAGCTTCCTCAAGACAGCTCATGACACACTCTTTGCTTGGTGATCTGCTCGAGTGTTTTGCCAAGGATAAACGACAAGCTTACCAGACTGTAGCATTTGGGAAACCAAGACATTACCCATCTCCAGTCCTAAGGCACTTCTCCTAATTCTCCCGTGACTCATCAAAGACCACCACGTCTAGTTTCACAACCACATCCAAAAAGCTCTTTCATTGCCCTGGTACCCAGTTCATGGGACTCATTTAGAGTGGCCTTGTGCTCTCTATCTCCTCATCCATCTTGGACTTGGATTCTCTCTTTAAAAAAAGAAAATAAACACTTTTTATTTTGAAATTTAAAATGATCAAAAACACAATTATTTGAATATACAAAGAACATAAAAGAGGATTATGCATGAAATTGTCAGTTTCTGGTTTTTACGGTTTTAAGTGCATATTAAATTTAACAAGATAGTAACAAAATTGCCCTGATGTTTGTGTCACTCCTAACCTTGTTTTTCCTACATATTTTTAATGTTGATTATTCGTGCTTTTCTCTTCTTTTCTTATGATCTCAGTCACCATCCACTCATTTCCCCCATTTCTCCCAAATGGAAGCCCGCCTTGCCTTGTCATCAATAAGCCGAGTCAAGCCAAACAAATCAACAGTTGGGTCCTGTCTGAAAATGTCCACCTCCTGCCCTCTAGTCCATCCCTGTTCTGCCAAGCATGGCAAGGTCGGATGCAGATTCAGACTTTTGATGTGAGGATTCATTCACACACACGTCCAAGTTGTTTTCCTCTAAGTTGTGGTGGTCATCGTGGCCTCTGCCCCCTATAGTCTTTCCCATTAGAAGGGGACCCCCTTGAGGGCAGAGGCTGTCTGGTTTTCTATTTGTGGCACCACCACTGTGTTGGGTACATAGCTGGTGCTTAATAAATGCTTCTTTTTGTTACTTCATTCTGTTGACTATTATTATTAAGGGGACTTAATTTCTTCTTTCAAATTGTCTGAAGGTTGGCCATGAGGAAGAGAAACTCGACTTTGTCGGCTTGGTCTCAGAGATCAGGACTAGGTGTGGGGGAGGGGGCATTTCCATCTCCAGCCTCTGTCTCTTTGCTTTGGCCATCCCCCATGCCGGAAGCACCATCCTTCCTCTCCTCAGCCTCTGAGGAGCCTTCCCTTCCTTCAAAGCTCGGCTGAGAGACAACATCAGTCAACAGGATGCTTCTTCTCTTCCCTCCTCTAATATTTCCTTATCTATTTACCTAATGTATCCTCCAGTGGCAGGTCAGCTCCCTGAAGGCAGGGGCTGGTTTTCATCTTTGTGTCCACATCACCAGGTTGGTGTTTTGCACACAGTAGATGCTTAATAAATGTTTGTTAAATGTAATGGAAAAGTGGAAATGGCTCCCTCAAGACGTAATAAGTTCCCCATCATGGGAGTTCTGCCAGCAGAGGCTGGGTGGCCCCGGGGGGGTTGGGGGGAGAGGGTGTGGACCTCTGCGGAAGAGATAACTGCTCTGGAAGAAGCTGAGCTGGCTGCTCCTGGGGCCCCTTTCTCCAAGGCCCGGTACATGCAGTGCTTACTGGCCACCACAAGAGGGCAGCAGTCAGTTTGTTCAACTCCAGATGTCCATCAAGGACCACCAGATTTTAGAACTGGAAGGGAGCTAAGCCATCCAGCCCCCTCAGGTTTCAGATGGGTAAACTCAGGTGCTAAGATGGGAGAGGCTTGTCCCTTAGATTGGGAGCTCCTTGAGGGCAGGGACTGTCTTTTGCACAGGCACTTAATAAATATTGATGATTGGTGGATTGGCCAAGGCCAAACAGTCGACAGAGCCAGGACCTTCCACGGCCTGTCCAGTGCTCTTTTCCCCAGGCCACACTGCCTCTGGCACTGAACTGCCCAGACCCCACCCTCCAGGGTGCCCCTCCATCTTGACCCAGATCTGTGTCCCTGCTCAAGCCCAGTGACCATATCCCTTCTCCCTCCAGTTCCCCTCTAACCACATTAGGCAGCCTGAGATTGATAACTCAGACATAAGCCAGTGATTTAAAAAATCGTAATTCTTAAAAAGCAGGTACCAGAGCCGCAGAAGTGAAGCCCATCTCCCACCAGGGGAACCTCAAAGGCAGCAGAAGAGGGACAGAGAAGTCACACTGCGCTCTGGGGAAATGAGGGCCACTCCCCCAGCCCCCCATGAGCCCAATGTCAGTGTGAGGGGCCTCAGCTCGCCTTTCCTGCCTGAGTCAGAATTGGCTCAATTCAGAACCGCCCCTGTGAACAGCGGCACTCACACTCTGGGGATGAGGCTGGAGCAAGAGAAGCAGCAGGTTGGACTGTTCATACCAGAAGTTCCTCATCTTCTGGCCACTGGTCTCGTCTTCCTCATGCTGAACCTCTCTCCCCAAAATGAATTCCAGTTAATTGAGGCTGTTGGTCAATTAGGAGTCTGGTTAGGGGTTGTTTTACTGAACCACACTGAGATCTTGACAACTTGGACAGGTATCAGAGGTTCCTCTGAGAGGCTACCCATTTCAGAGACCAGCCAAGTGAGTCCAGGGAAGAGAGGGCTTACTTCACATGTGCCAAGAACTAAAGGCCTGGTGCTGCTCTGGTGCCTGAGGGGGACCAAGGGGAGGGGGTGATCAAGGGGCCGTGGGGGAGAGGGCGCACAGGCTCAGGGAGAGTCTGCTGGCAGCTACTCCTGCCCAGGCCCATCCTCCCCATCCAGGGCCTGCTCATAAGGGTAGCGCCTTCTGCCAGGGCCCAGGGCGCCCACTCCTAGGGGCTCCCCATCACCATCCTCGTTGTCTGAGCCGTCTCGGCTGTGGGCTGAGCCCTGCTCATTTTCCGAGCCTGTCTCATCGGAGTTGTCATCTTCCAGGTAACGGTAACCGCACACCTTGTGCTGGGGCCGGGGAATTCGGGGCAGGCGGTAGGCTACACGCTGCTTGAGCTTGGCCTCCATCCACAGGTAGGAGGCCATGGACACCAGGACCGTCAACAGTAAGATGGCCAACTTGGCCTGGGGGGAGAAGCAGGGGCTGCTCAGGGGCTACCCTCCCCCCCCACATGCCCATGATCCTGGCCCAATAGGGTCTGCCCTTCTTTTCCCTACCCCATCCCCACCCCGCACTGGCTGCACTTCTGACCCAGCCCTGTCGGACTCAGCGTCTCCCCTCCCTCCCATATGTACATGTATGCACATTTCATATGGTCTTCCTCACCAGTCTTCCTGCTAGGAAGGCCCTGGCTACCTGTCCGTCAAGGCCAGCTCCCCAGCCACCCCCTCCAAGAAACCAGGCCGCACTGATGCAGCAGGGACAGTGTGATGGGGCTTGGCCCGGGGGGCCTCTGAGGCCCTTCCCCCAAGGCCTGCCCCTTAGCTTCCTGTCTGCAGCCCTCACCAAGACACAGCTGTGCCAGGAAGGCTCTTCTGCAGGTCCTTGGGCCATTAAACAGTGTATGTCCTGCCTTCCCAGGGACACTGGAGGCAGAGACTACCCCTCATTCCTCGCAAGCCTTCTCAGTAAATGTTTGGCTCCAGACCTAGCAGGGTAAGGCTTGTTTTCCCCTCCCCGCTCCAGCGATGACTGGGCCCAGATTCTGGGACTTGGGAGTTGAGAGTCCTGGGTTCAAAGGCTTCCTTTGATCCATAACTGTGATTGGGGGGCGGGGAGGGCTGCAAATCCCTTCCCTCTCTGAGCTTTAGGGACCCAGAGGCTGTGAAATCCAACTCCCTCATTTTACAGAGGAGGAAACTGAGGCCCAGAGAAAAGGAAGTGACTTGGCCAAGGTCACACAGGCGGGAGGCATCCCAGGTGGCATTTGAATCCAGGTCCTATGACTCCATGATCCACCTTCTTTAAATGCTTAATAGAGCTTGCTAGCTGGTTGAGTGATTGAACGGCATGCCACCTCCCTGGGCTCAGTTTAAGCAACATTTATTAAGCCCCCACTGTATACCCTGCCTGGAGGAGCTTGGGGTCCCTTAGGGGCATGCACTATGTGCACAGATAAGCACACTCAGGCTGTGCACAAAGTTACAGGAGGAAGGAGTCATAGGAGTCAAGAAGGAAGTAGCCGGGGCCTGGGGCAGGGAGAGGGGCAGCTGAGCTGGGCTTGGAAGGAAGCCAGGGACTCTAAGAGGCAGAGCTGAGGAGGGAAGGCACTGCAGGCATTGGGCACAGCCCATGCAAAGATGCAGGAGCAAGAGAAGGCTATTGTGAGGAGGAACCTGCAAAACTTAAGGGGCTTGAAAATGCTTTTAAATGGTGGAAGAATTCAGGAAGCACGAGAAGACCCACCTGAACTGATGCAAAGGGAGCAAACCTAGGGAAACGACATGCACAAGCCTACAGTCTGAGAACACTGGCCAGGTTTGCTCAACTTGTTTCTTTTTTTAAAGTTACAAGGAATGGGGAAGAGAGGGGATACAGACACCTTTAGAGATGGAAGTAAGGTAAAAGCAAATATTTTGATAATGAAAATTGCAAAAAGACAAGGTGTTTGAGAAAGATGAGTCGTTCTTCCATTAACGCCTGGATTCCCAGGGGCCCACTCTGACCTCCCCCTCCATGTACACCTCCTGCCCCATCTCACCTTCATGGGCAGGTCGGAGCCGAGGTAGACTGCAAAGATGGCGAGGGCCTGACACCAGTGGTAGATGGTGAAAATGAAATCCTGACGCTCTTTATCTTCGTACAGAATCCCAAGGAGGGCTGTGGAGGGCAGAAGGCATGGCCTGGCTGAGGCCTCTCAGTTTCTACACCCAGGGTCCCAGGTCTGGCCCTGACCCTCTGGGTTGGTAAGTGGGGCCCCCCACCTTCAAACCCTGGGTTTGGGGTCCTGTGCTGCACCCCAGCACAGTCCCACAATCCATATGCAGGGTCCTCTGCCTGTCCCGAGCCCCACCCCCACCTGTAAATCTGGTCTCTTAGCCATTCCTCATGTCTCTCAACAGGCCTAGGCACCTGGGGGGTGAAATAAATAAAGCACCAGCCTCGGAGGCGGGAAGCCTGAGTACAAATTCTGCTTCTAATACTTCCTAAACATGTGACCCTGACTTAATCGCTCTGAGCCTCAGTTTCCCTATCTGTAAAATAGGGATGCTGATGGTAGCCCCTACCTCACAGAGCTGTTATGGGGATCAGATGAGGTAAGACACGGAGTGCTTCGCAAAGCTTGAGGCGATATAGAAAGGTGAGCGATTACCAGGACGGATGGCTAGGGGGCACCACAGCGCACAGAGCGCCAGGCCTGAGGTCAGGAAGACTCGTCTTCTCGAGTTCAAATCCAGCCTCAGACACTGCCTAGCTGTGTGACCCTGGGCAAGTCACTTAAACCTATTGGGCCTCAGTTTCCTCATCTGTAAAATGAGCTGGAGAAGGGAACGGCAAAGCCCTCCAGTACCCTAGCCAAGGAAACCCTAAATAGGGTCATGGAGAGTCAGACATGACGGAAAAATGACTCAGTAACAACAACAAAGGGCGGCGGTGTGTCCCCCCATCCCCCGCCATCAGTACTCACTACTTAATGCGATCTTGTTGAGGGCACTGCCCACACCCCAGAGCACAGCCACCATGTAGAAGACCCAGCTGTGGCTGAGGACCTGCGGGTGAGGGGCCCAGAAAAAGAAGGCAAGGATGAGCAGCAGGTGCACGGTAGCCCCGGCCACCAGGGGCACCTGTCGGGGCAGACACAGCTGAAGGAGCCCGAGGCTGGAGAAGACAGCAGCACCGAAGCCGTAGGCCGTCAGGATGGGTGCCAGGTATTCCAAGCCCATGGAGCACACACCGTAGCCCTGCAGAGAGAAGGGATGGAGGCCTCCAAGCTTCTGGGCCACAGGGAGCCGCTCACTCACTCCCAGAACCAGGTGAGAGCCTCCCGGATTCTTTCAGCACAAGACAAACGTCAGCAAACTGCTGGAACATGTCAAGGATATGGGGACAAAGAACCCCAGGGCACCCCGAGCCAGGAAGAGGGGGCCCCTGAGTCACTGAGGAGCCCTCCACATACCAGAGTGAAGCCAGTGCAGACGAAGAGCACTTCAAAACCGCTGTAGATGAAGAACGGGAAGAGGTGGCGTAGTCTGTAGTCACGCATGTGCTTGAAGGGGAGCTGGAAGATGTTTCCCCAGCCCACGCTGCGAAGGTCAATCTCCTCTGTGGGCCGGTAGGCAGAGCCACACAGGGCCAGGATCTAGGGGTGGAATCACAGGGCCTGGACCGGTCACCCTCGGAAGCCTACAAAGGACTTTGGGTGGAGCGGCCCTGCAGGGGAGGCTGGGTCAGCGCACTCATCCCCACTTCACAGCTCTGGTGCAGGTAAGTGACTTGTCCCAGTCACACACCTGGTCAGTGTGAGGCCAGATGTGAGCAATAATAATAGTAATAATAACAACTAGCATTTTTGTGTTCTAAGGTTTCCAAAGCACTTTACATACATCATTTCATTTCATCCTTACAACAACCCTACAAGATCAGGACAACATGCATTATCAGCCCATTTAATAGATAAGGAAACTGATACACAGAGAAGTTAAATGATCTGTTTAATGGTCACAACAGCTAGTAAAGACCTGAGGCAGATTCAAACGGAGGTTTTCCTAGATTCTGGATCACATATGCACTATAACGATGGAATAATTGTTTTCAGAAAACGCCCTGTATGCAGAGAAATTGCAGCTGAGTCCATAAGATAAGAAGACAGAAACACCGCCCAAGGGCAAAACTTCATGAATTGACCCCAGAGCCCTTTCCTATTTAGAGCTACCATTCAGCATCCCTGCTGTCACCTCAGCCCACTAGCTCACTAATGTTAGTGTACATAAGCCCCGATGCCTGTGACTCAGGGTCTGGACATATTTGTGGCTCTGTCAGTGACTTGAAGGACTAGTAATTGACCCTGCAAAAGACAGGAGTCCCTGATTCTGGTTTGGCACATGAAGGAAGGAATGGGGACAATGATCGGGGGGGGGGGAGAGGGAGAGAGAGAGAGAGAGGGAGGGAGAGAGAGAGAGAGGAGAAAGGGAGAAAGAGAGAGAGAGAGGGAGGGAGGGGGAGAGAGAGAGAGAGAGAGAGGGAGGGAGGGAGAGGAGAAGGAGGGGAGGGAGAGAGAGAGAGAGAGAGAGAAGAGAGAGAGAGAGAGAGAGAGAGAGAGAGAGAGAGAGAGAGAGAGAGGAGAAAGGGAGAAAGAGAGAGAGAGAGGGAGAGGGGGGGGAAGGGGGAGAGAGAGAGAGAGGGAGGGAGAGAGAGAGGGAGGGAGAGAGAGAGAGAGGGAGGAGAGAGAGAGAGAGAGAGAGAGAGAGAAGAGAGAGAGAGAGAGAGAGAGAGAGAGAGAGCAGAAGAGTCTGGCAAGGAGGAAGACTCAGAACCATAGCCTAGAGGAGAAGGAAGGGAGACAAGAAACCCAACCAAGGAAGGACTGCCTGGGGACATTGCTCACATCAGGGACCTCATCCTTGATGGCCCTCACTACAAAGATGCTCAGGATACCTAGCAGCCCAGCCCAGGAGGCGGGAGGAAGGCGGATCTGTGCAACAGGAGGAGCCAAAGAGTGAGCAGGATTCTCAAAGGCAAGTGACAGAAAATAGAGCAGAAAATCCAAAAGAACGTGAGAGAAAACCTGAATACCATGAAATAGAGTATCTTAAGCACTCTCCAGAAGTTACAGAACAGCAGCAGCAAGAAACTTCAGAATGTGGAGAGGAAGAGAGAGACAGAGACAGAGACAGAGACAGAGAGACAGAGAGAGACAGAGAGATACAGAGAGAGAGACAGAGAGAGACAGAGACAGAGACAGAGACAGAGACAGAGAGACAGAGAGAGACAGAGAGAGAGACAGAGAGAGACAGAGACAGAGAGACAGAGAGATACAGAGAGAGAGAGACAGAGACAGAGACAGAGAGAGACAGAGATACAGAGAGAAACAGAGAGATACAGAGAGAGACAGAGACAGAGAGAGACAGACAGAGACAGAGAGACAGAGAGAGACAGAGAGAGAAAGACATGGAGAACTCTTAAGGGAAGGAATCTGTGCTCTCAATGCAGAATTTAAAAACAAAAAGAGCAGAATAGTAAAAATTAAATGCACAATGGAGGGATTCTACAAAGAAGTAGAAGCTTTGAGAAAGAAAATCATCTGTTTGGAGCACAAAAATACTTCAGCAGAAGAAAATCTGGCAGAAGAGAAGTGAAAGTTAAAAAGAATAGATGGATTCTCTACAATTCAAATATGCTGACAGAAGGTGCAGAGTTAACTTAAGGAACAGAGGTCTTCGGAATGGCATGATCAACTAAGGACCTGAATACCATCCTGCAGGAAACAGCACAAGAAAACTACCCAGAACTTCTGAATACAGGATATAAAACACAGATCAAGAGAATCCACAAATCAGTGCTGGAAGAAAAATACACTTCAAAAGTCATTGCAAGTAATGGTTAAATTGGACGATTTTAATGACAAAGAATAAATTCTGCAAGCAGTCAAGAGAAAGACTTTCAAAAATGAAGAACACAAGATTATTCCACATTTGTGAGAAAGCACAGAAGAGAATGAAATAGCATATTCTGAAAATCAAAGGTACTCAGGCTACAACTCAAAATAACATCTTGTGAAGACAACTTCAATCATCAAGAGGGAAAAATAGACTCAATAAACCCAGGCCACGTTGCCTCCCTACTACTTATTCTATACACCACACTGCTTGCCTCTTCTGGAGTATACATTATAAGCTTAGAACTAGAACAGGCCGTAAGTATTTTCTAGCCCAACTCTCAACTTCCAGAGGTGGAAACTAAGGCTCAGAATGACAGAGTGGATAAACTACGGGGTTGGTTCAGAAAGTCCTGGTTTCTAATCTTGTCTCAGACATTTATTATCTGGGTGAGCATGAGCAAGTTACTTGAACCTCTTTGACTCCCTATGTAAAATGCCAATAATAACAGCACCTGCTTTATAGCGCTGTTGTCAGGTTTGAGCTGGATAACGTGCTTTGCAAACCTTAAAGCATTATAGAAATGTTGGCTAGCCATAACATGACTGTATCTGAAAGAAAGCAAAGAGAGGAAGACTCCAGATGTACGAAATTATTGATGATCAAAAATTGTACGCTGAGGAGCTGCCTTTCTATTAGTGGGTGGCTAAACAGATTCTGGTCTCCAAATGCAATGGAATATCTGTGTCATAAGAAATGATGTGACAGATCATTTCAGAGGGAGCTGGGCAGACCTCTGTGAAACGACGCAGAGTGAAGTGAGCACAGTTTGGAGGACAATATACAATAACATTACACAGGAAAAGACCAACTCTGAAAAGCTCTGGATCTCTGTCCAATGCGATGATAAGTTATGATTCTAGAGGACTGAAGAGGAAATGTGTCACCACCCTCCTGCCCAACAGGGACAGACTGAATATGAAGAACGATCCATGCCTTTGGGCATGGCCAGTGTGGGGATGTCTTTGACTGGATGAGGCACATTTGTCTTGAAGGTGTTTTTTAATTGCTCAGGAGAGAGGGGAGAGATAATAAATGGTTGTGAAAAGAAATAAGCATACTTAAAATGTCAGCTAATATTATTATTGTTGTTATAAGGACTTGCCCAAGGTCACAAGAATCATAAACATCAAGGCCAGATGTCAGATCCAGGTTAATCCCCTGATGCCGAGGGCTCTGAGTTCCAACCTAGGGATCTATGTTGAGATCTAGGATGTTCAGACACCCATCCAGCCCCAATCTCTACCGAATCCTACAGCCCACCAGACCCATATCCTACCCAGACCTATCTGGAGATGTGTCCTGGGCACCAGAGGGGCCCAGAGCCATGATGATCTGCACACCCATAGGCACCCCCTCACAAATAACCTTCCTGAAGAGACCTATCTCCCCACCCTATGAGCTCCCCAAGGAGAGTGTCCACATCTGATTTGGAGTTCCCACAGAATGGCTAAGCACTGTACCCAGAAGGCACTTCTTACACGGAACAGAATTTGTTCCATGGCTCCTTTGGGGCCTAGGAGTAGGGCTAGCTTGCGCTGTCCATGGGGAGCACCTTTTTGTGAAGACCAGGGATCCCCTTCCCACAGATCTCCCTCTCCTCCATCCCCTCCAAAGCCCTTCCTGCCCCATCTCTTATCATAGTCCCTCCCCCACCCTTCTCCTCCTGCTTCCACAGGAGGATGGATGCTTGGCCAGGCCTGAAGGAATCCTTACCAGCAGCATGGCCAGAAAGGCCACCGACATGAGCACACTTTCAACCACGATGAGGTTCTGGCTGTGGGGCAGTCTCCGAAGCACAGTCCTGTTGAAGCCAATGAGGATCCCATAGCTGTTGGTGCCTGGGGGACACAAAGTCACAGTGAGATGGGACAGGAGTCACAAGGACAGAAGCAGTGACAGAAATGAAGCCAATTTGCTCCCAAAGCCACCCCAGGCTGTCACTGGCACTGTCACATTCATTGGTCTGCTGCTGCTGTTTGGATCTGAGGTCAGAGGTCAAGGTCACAGGCTCTATCTCCCAGTGGACCAACACTTAGCTTTAATTCTCATCCAAAGATTGACCAATGGACCTAGGCCAGAGGCTGAGCTTCTCACCCTAACCATAGCCCATGCTAAGCCCCAGGCCAAGTGCCAAGTGCCTTACCCTGTGCCTTAACCTCTGTAACCATCTTGCAAACATGCAATGTTCTCAAGGAGAACTGGTTAGGAAGGTGTGGCGGATACAAGCCAATCCTTCCTATTCTGAGATCACAACCCAAAGCACATGGCCCACTGGGGGCTCAGCAATGTCACTCTCACAGAGAAAGTGCTGCTGAGACACACACGGAGCCCCACCCTTGCCTCAACTGAGGCATCTGCCTTTCCTGGACCAGGATGAGCAGAGCCTTTGTGCTGGTCCAAAATCTCTCTAAAGAGAGCAACACTGGGGATAATCGTTCCCTCTTCTCCAAACCCAAGCTGTCCTTCAAGGCCCACGTTCTCCAGGAATTCTTCCCTGACCACCCCAGTCCACCTTGGCGTGTTCCTTAGAAGCACAGCCTAGTAGAAGAAGGGACCTCAAAGGCTAGAGAGATCAATCTATCTCCTTCATTTTACAGATGGAGAAACCGAGCCCAAGAGGGGAAGGGACTTGCCCTGGGTCACATAAGCAGCAAGCTGGGATTCGAACTCAGGTTGCATGACTCTAAGTTCAGTGGTCTTCCCGCTGTGTCATGCTTTCTCCTTGACTTTTGAGGATACAACGTCACGGTGCATTTCTCATGGCAGCCTCTGGCAATTAGACAGCTTGTCATGCCCGTTGGCCTATTTCCATCCCCTATGCTCAGATGTTCCCCCAGAGCTATCCTGGACCCTCTTCCCCCTCCACACTGTGCTCTCTGGCTTGGTGATCTCACCAGCTGCCAAGGGTTCGATTATCATCTCTATGCAGATGACGCCAGAGCTACATATCCGGCCCTAATCTCTCTCACGAGTTCCATCCCACATCACCAACTGCCTGCTTGACCCCCCCCCATGACTTTGTCTCCAAGTGTGTGCCACCCACATCCACTTGCTTTACTGCTCTCCAGACTGCCCTCCATCTCCCCTCCCCCTTCTGAAAACTCAACAAAGAAAAGAGCCTCAATACAACATTGAAACATACAGAAGGAAACAAAAGAACACGGAAGGCTCAGAAGGGGCAGTAAAGGAGCGGGATGATTTTGTTACTACTGTGTTGATTAATATGCATTTTTCAAGCAGAAGCTCTGTAACGGAAGTCCCTGGTTTCACGGGATAACCCACTTTTTTTCTTGGCCCATCAGAACACTTGCGGTAGCTGACGCCCAAGTTCATGATCGTTTCTGAAATTGCTACGTTGTGTCTACATGTTTCTGTCCAGGTGAGACACAGGCGCTTTGGGGGCAAGGACTAGTTTCTGTATTTGTCTCCCTGGCACTCGGCACAGTGACTGGCTTGCCTTCATCATCATCATCATCATAGCTAACACTTCTATACCACCCGTGCCAGGCACTGTGCTGAGCTTTTTTCAAACACTTTCAAACATTCTGTCATTGGACCCTCACAACAACCCTTAGAGGGAGGTGCTATTATTATCCCCATTTTATAGATGAGGAAACTGAGGCAAACAGAAATTCTGTGACTGCGTATAGCACGTGCTTGATACAGTGATGCTTGTTGAATTGAGTTGAGGCTGGGCACCCCCTCCCCGTCCCTGCCGCCCCCAACCCCAGCCACAGAGTTGAGTTTCAGACTCACCACAGCTATGCACATTATAGAGGGTGTGATTCCGACCATACAAGTACCCATTGAGGAAGAAGACCATGGGCCCCTGGGCACAGGCAAAACTGAGCTGCAGGAAAGGAGAGGGGAGGCTGGAGATGGTGGCCGTGTGATCCCGAGCCATGACCACCTCCCAGCTAGGGGCTGAGCCCCACAGCCAGCCTTCTAGGGGCATTTATAGGGGATGGAATACTAGATTAAGAACTAGAAAGGATCTTCGAGGCCAGCAAGCACAACCGCCCATCTCTCCATTTTACAGAGGAGGAAACTGAGGTCCAAAGAAGTCAAGCCACTCGCCCAAGGTCATACAGGTAGAGCTGAGATACTAGGCCAGGTCCTCTCCCTCCAAATCCAGGCCCCTTTCTGCCACACCATGCTAGCTCCTCACAATAGGGTGATACCAGGCACTCCAGTGGAGGGGAAGGGGGGGGGGAAGGTGCTGCTTTCCTTTATGATCTGGAAGGCTAGGCTTCCAGGAATTATTATTCCTATTTCACAGAGGAGGAAACTGAGACTTCAAGCAGTGGGGTGATTTGCTCACAGCCACACTGCTACTGTCAGAGGCAGGCTCTGAGCCCTGGTCTCTCTTGGCTCCAAACCAAGCACCCTTTATACTGTGCCATCTTCAAAGGCCCGAGAACCACCAGCAGAGCCAGGTGAGAGGAGGGGGCTGGATAGAAAGGATTGGGGGGGAAGGGAGATCTTCTCAATGCCCCCCCCAAGCACTGCCCCAGGCTAGAAGTTCTTCTGGGCCATGCTCCCAAGGCTTCCCACTCCTGCCCCTAGCCCTGCCCATGCTCACGTGGAAGAAGCTATAGAAGATGGTGTGGAAGATGACAAGATAGGGCATGTGGGCCCCCCTTGGGGGACGCCTCTGCTCCTGAACATGCTCTTCTTTGTAATTCACATACTCGTAGTATTTCTGCGACATTCTGCAAGAGAACACGGAGCACTGGCATGGAGATGGTCTCATCCCCCAGATCCTCTCAGCCGAGCCTCCCAGATGTTCTGGGAGCTGTCCAGCTGCTCCCCGTTCACCCTGTGCTTCCCTCCGCAGTTTTGACCATTCTACTCCATCTCACGCCACCAAACTGGACGTCTCCCTTCTGACACGCTCCCCTTGCTCAGGATGATTTCTATGCCTGGGTGCCCCCTGCTTGTTGATTTTAACTCACTTTAATTCAAAAAACACTGGGGGGTGGGGGGGGAGAAATCCCCCCATCCTCACTCTTACATCAGGGACACAGAAAAGATAACTATTTTGTATTTACTATTTCTTGCAAACTAATCTAACAATCATTTCCAAAGGAAAAGAGCATTACTAACTTGGGGGGAGGTCAGGAAAGGTCTCCTGTGGCAGGAAGTACCTGGGCTGTGTTTTGCAATAAGTTAGAGACTTAATAGGGCAGAGGTGAGGGAAGGCATTCCACACAAAGGAGGGCAGCCTGTGCAAAGGCCATGACCCATCCCTGGAAACCTACTTCAAATACCACCTCTTCCAGGAAACCTCCCCGACCTCCAGGGTCCACAAAGACCTTCCACCTCAGAGCTCACATCACTGGCACTGGGGAGGCATGTCTCTAGTATACTTGCGGTGTAACATTAACTAGCGGTATTGTCTATGCTGGTATCTGCTCTCCCTTCCAGCCTATAAACTCTGTTCCCCTGCCAGTTCCCGGCAGGAGGTGCCGCACACAGCAGCCACAACTGACAAAATTTGCATATTTGCTGACTCGAACTGAGTCAGATTCCCACGTTCAGGTGAGAACGTGGAATCTGCCCACAATACCCCTGGGACAACAGCTGTCTGAGCAGCGCCCATCAGGATCCTGGCAGGTGTGGCCACCAACAGCCCCATGCCTCCACCCCCCCCAGCCCTCCTACCCAGCTGGCCCTGCTTACCTGGTGATGTAGTTCCCCATGGAGGCCCAGAGGGGCACAATGGCCACGCCCAGGGCAACTGCAGAGGGTACTAGTGTGTAGTATCGCTCCCAGTAGTTGGTGGAGACAAAGAGGGCATAGATGCCCACGGCCAGGAACATCACCCACTTGGTGCCAAAGAACCTGCCAGGGGGCAGAACTTTCTCAGTCAGGTGTCCTCTGCCCTCAGCCTTCAGCCCTGGCAGACCCTCGAGGCTGGCACCAAGTCCAACCCAGGCCTGGCACTGGCTGTCCAGCCTCTACTCCAAGACCTCCGGTGCCAGGGCAGCCCCTTCCATCCTGGGCCACCTCCTGAGTTGGAGCCTTCCACCGCAGATCTCGGAATCACTAACACTGTCCACAGAGGGCAGCGTAGTTCAGGGAAAACAGCATTGCTTCTGGGGGCCAGGGCCCTGAATTCAAATCCTTCCTCTGAATCTTGTGCCCTGTGTGACTTGGGCAAGGCCCACTTAACCTCCTTCAGCCTCAATTTGCTCATCTGTGAAATGGAGAGGTGGTCTCTCCAGCTCTGGGTCTGGGGTCCTATGGGTCTGTGAACCTCAGGACCTCCTCCAGCTCCAGGACAGACAATAGGAGGAGGGAGGTCAGCAAAAAAAAAACCAGCCTCAGCTTTAGCACTGGGTCTGGATTCTAGTCCTGACTCTGCTTCTAATGTACTATGTGACCTTAGTAGCCTAGACTAGCATCTATTCCCTTCTCTGGGCCTCAGTTTCCCAAATGGTAAAACAAAAAGGTCGATCCCTGAAAGTTCAACCAGCTCTGAAATGTTGCCACTATACGTCTTCCTGAAGGTAGTTAGGTCAGACCTGCAGGGTATATTCAGTCCAAGTTCATAAGCATTTATTAAGCACCTACTGTGTGCTAGGCACTGTGCGATGGGCTGGGGAGACAAGGACAGAAATGAGGCAATGCTTGCCTCAAGTCCATTCTATGGGAGGGGATACAACATGGCCCCAAAGAAATACAAATTCTGTATCATTTCAAGACAGAAAGAATGCTGATAACTGGAGGGGTGGGGGTGGGGAGGAGGACCAGAAAAGGCTTCATCTGGGAGGTGGCGCTCAGGCAGTGCTCGGAAAGGCCCTAGGGATGCTCAGAGGTGGCACCAAGGAGGGAGGCAAAGAGGTGGCATCAGAAATCAGAGTTTATCGGTCAACCTCCTCATTTGACAGGTGGAAACCAAAGCTTGGAGGGGGCTGGCCTCCTGCCTCCCAGTCCCACCGAGGCCTACACACTGGCCGAGCAGGTACAGCCCAGGCAGGGCTTGTGTGTGCCCCCCAGCCCCTCCCTCCACGGGCAGGCCCAGCACAGGGTCGGGGGGCAGTTTGGCACTGCTGCCCACAGCCACCTGATGAGCACGGGTGTGTAGAGCAGAGCCACCACAGGGGTCACGTTGATACCCATCAACATCTTGCTGTCAATGTCGGGGAGTCCCATGCTGCCGTATTTCACCTCTCGGTAGGTCTCATCATAGTGGAGAATCATTTGCATCTGTAGGAGGCCTGGCGGATTGGGGAGGGGGACTTAGGCCTAGGCCCAGTCCAGGCCAAAGCCCCCCCATGAGTTAGTCACCCTGCTCCTGAACAACGCCAAGGAGACTAGAACAGCTGTAGCCCAGGTTCCCCCGTGGAGGGCCGGGGGGGGGGGAGGAAGGAGGGATATTGCTCACAGCAGTCTAGAATCCAGTTCTAGCAGTGGCCTATGGGCTAAGGGGACAGAACGCAGCACCTCTTCGACATTGGGGACCCACTGCCCAGAGTGGGGGGACAGGAAGTGTTCCTAGGAAGGACTAAATCACTCACCAACCACACGCAGAGCCCTAGCCACAAGTTGGGTCAATAACACACAGAGTAAATACTGTCAGACACAGAAAGAGGGAGGCAGTGGGGGCAGACAGGCCAGGCCAGGGAGGGAACAATGACCCCAGCCCTCTAAAACCTTGGGCACATCCTTTCTCTTTTCTCATCAGCAAAATGAGGGGGCTGGTCCCTATTTTCTCTTAGATCCCTCCCAGATCTGACATTCTATGTTCTAAGGTCCCTCCCATCTCTCACATTCCATGTTCTAAGGTTCTTCTCAGCCCAAGAATTCCATGTCCTAGTTTCTAAGTTCCTTCACAGGTCTGACATTCTGTGTTCTGAAGTCCCTCCCAGCTCTGGCATTCTCTGTTCTCTGTTCCAAGATTCTTCCCTTCCAGGGCTCCCAACTGACGGGTGATGGTCCTGGCAGCCCCACACCCAAGGTGGCCATAATCAACCTGGGGGCCAGGGGAAAGGGGAGAGGAGGCCCCTACTGCTCTGCCCACAGCAATCCCACCTCCTGCAGCTGTGGGGAGAGAGGAAGTCGAAGAGGAACCGGGGCTCTGAGCTGTGGTCCAGGGCTGCCTGGGTCAGGGTCTCCCACTGGTTGCCCCAGGCCTGCTTCCTCATCTGCTTACGAGAAGTCCAGGAGAAATGACTTGCTCAGAGCTTGGCCCCAGCTAAAGTGAAAGACCCACCCACTCCTCCTTTCCTGTCTCTAAAGTCTCCCCAGGTCTGACCAGATGCAATCTAATAATATCATCCTCTACACATTGCCAAGTCTGCTCTCATCAATGCTTGCCAAGCCCCAAGGAAGGGAGGCTGAGGAGGTGTGGCCAACCATGGAGGAAACTGAAACTTAGAAAAGGGAAGTGACTTGTACCCGGTCACCCAGGGAGTAAATGTTGGAGCTGGGCTGAAACCCAAACCTTCGACTTCCAGAGCAGGACTCCTTCCCTGAAAGATAATCTTACATCACCTATGGGACAGCTCCAGAACTAAGGAGACAGCTTGGACCAAGCAGGCCAGTTTCCACCAAAGACCCAAGCCTACTATGTAGTCCTAGAGCCTGGGCAAGGAGAGCTTTTCAAAGCTGCTGCCTTAGCAGACAGTGTGAGAGGATCCATGTAGCTTCCAGTCTTGACCTCCCTCATGTCTGAGCCATGTGACCTTAGGACTCAGACACTAGGCATCCGCAGTGCCTAACCCCTGCCCTGCCCCTTCACAAGGTCAACACTTTCCTGGGACCCACAAGGGTGATTATTGACCCTCCCTGGAGTGAGGCCAGCCTAGGAACAAGTGTGTCAGCCAGTCACTCAACTAGCGGTTATTAAGCATCGCCAGCACCTCAAGGAAACGAATGAATGAGTGAATGAATGAATGAATGAATAAGTTCAGAGCCTTCAGCTAGGGGGAGGAGAGGGGAGACAAAGATCGGGCAACCCTCACAGTCTAATGATTCCTTGCAGAGCTTGAAGGATGATGACTGGTCTCCTCTGGCTGCAGACAATGGGGCTGGATCTCTGACAGAGACTGGCCTGGCAGATTTCTGGAGCCAGGACCCAGATAAAGTGAATGAGGAAGACTGGACCCCACTCTTCATCCAGGACACACCTCTGAGGCCTGGGTCATAGGGAGAGTGGACCCCACTTTTACAGGCCTCCTAATGTTAGTGGCCTCATTTTACAAAGGAAGAAACTGAGGCCCCGGGGAAGTGTCCAGCATCACTCAAGTAGGGGGAGTAGGAATTTGAACACAGATTCTGTGACTCCACAGCCAGCTCAGGCCTTGGCTGGGGAAGTGTGGAGGGAGGCTGAGGGTGCCCTCTCTTACCCAAGTATACACTGTAGGTGAGCATTCCGCCAATGCTAGCAATCACCACATTCTTGATCACGCCTAGCTTCTTTCGGCGGTAATATCTGCGCTCTTCCTCCTCCTCATTGTAGTCTGGGTAGGCCCCCACAAACTCATCCAGCTGGAGGGCACCGGCACAAGGCAGGGGGTCAGAGGCTGAGGCTCCCCCCTCCCCTGGCCCCAGTCACCCTGAGGTGACCACGCTCCCCAGCTCCCTGCCTCCACCCAGCCCAGGACAGACGCTAGAACCTTAGTTGGGGCTCTCCAAGCCGGCAGAGCGATGCTTCCCCTTCCCCCCTCCCCCTCCATCAGACCCCTGGCTCCCTGAAGCACGGGCTTTAGATCAGGAAGAAAACTTAAGACCGCGCCTCCACTTACAGATGGAGCAACTGTCCCAAGTAACCCAAGCAGTCAGCAGGAGAGGTAGACCTGGAACTCGGGACCCCCAAGGTAGTGCTCTTTCCCCAGCCCTCCTCCTACCGGCCCAGGCCCGGCTGGGCTCTCAGGCGGGCTCTCGTACCTCGGGCCCTTCCGGGAGGACCCCGTCGGGGACTCCAGCTTCGGGCTCCTCGGCCAAGAGGCCGGCGGCACCAGCCACTGGGTACAGCGGGGGCTCGGCCTCCATGGCCGGAGAAGGGAGGGCTGTGGGCGGCTGCTGTCCAACAGACAGTCCGTTGGCCTCCCCAGGGGGTGGATCTCCCGACGGGCCCGCCCGGCTCTCCAGCTGCTACCCTGGGACGCCAAGACCGCCTGGCCCCGAGCGCTGCGAGCTCACCCAGTTCTGCCGACCCCCCAAGACAGCCTGGCCTGGACCGGAGGCGGGGGCGGGGCCAGGGGCGGGGCCGAGAGCCGGGAGCCGGGAACCAGGAACCAGGAACAAGAACGCGCCCTGGTCTCTGCCCTGGTACCTGAGCTCCTAGGAGTCGAGATCCCCAAATCGGGGAAAAGGTGTGACTGCTTGGTCCCGGAGGAACCCTGACTGCTGTGTTCACCCCTCCCGCCCCCGACCCCGCTGAAGGCCGTTTAAGGACCAGCCAGCCCCTAGAAGACTAGATTCTAGGCCTGCCCCCTTGTTTGGTAGATGAGGAAACTGAGGCCCCGAGAAGTTGAGTCGCTTGCCCCCAGACCGCGCGCGCACTCTGACCCAGTCCATTCATTCAACAAGCATTACCGCAGGCTAGAAGCTGAAGACCGAGAAGGTAGTGTGGTGCGCACGCTTCCCCACCGCTCCTCTCTTCATTGTGCTAGTGCTGATTAGAAAGAGCTAGGTTCAAATCTCGCCTTTGATGCTTACTGACTGTGTGATCACCACACCTGCAGCACCCCTACTTCCCAGGGTTGTGAGAATCAAAAGAGATAATATTTGTGAAGTATTTTGCAAACCCGGAAGTGCTGCAAAATGCTGGTTCTTGTTAATAACAAAGCTAGGAAGGGGACTTCGTATGTTTCTCAAACCCGTCTCCCCCTTAAGTCAGATGAAGGGGGTGGGCGGGTGCCTCGGGAGCTCTCAACCCAAGATCCTCGGTCATCAGTGCCAGTCTGTCCAGCAGGGCATGTATAGGGCATCTACTCCAACCCTTCATTTAACATATGGGAAAGACACAGCAGTCAGTGACTATAGTAATCTATTATCTGATAAACCCAAAGACCCCAGCTTCTGGGATAAGAACCCACTCTTTGAAAAAAACTGCTGGGAAAACTGGAAAAGAGTATGGCAGAAACTAGGCATAGACCCAAATCTCACACCATATACCAAAATAAAGTCAAAATGGGTTCAGGACTTAGATATAAAAGCTGATACCATAAGTAAACTGGGAGAAAAAAGAGTAGTTTACCTATCAGATCTATGGAGAACAGAAGAATTCATGACCAAACAGGAGACAGAGAACATTACAAAAAGCAAAATGGATAATTTTGATTACATTAAATTGAAAAGTTTTTGCACAAACAAAGCCAATGCAACTAAGATTAGAAGGAAGGTAGAAAACTGGGAAAGAATTTTTACAACCAGTCTCTCTGATAAAGGCCTCATCTCTAAAATATATAGAGAATTAAGACAAATTTATAAGAACACAAGCCATTCCCCAATTGATAAATGGTCAAAGGATATGAACAGACAGTTCTCAGATGAAAAAATTAGACCCATCTATAGTCATACGAAAAAATACTCTAAATCGTTACTGATTAGAGAAATGCAAATCAGAACAACTCTGAGGTACCACATCACACCTATCAGATTGGCCAACATGACAAAACAGGGAAATGATAAATGTTGGAGAAGATGGGAAAATTGGAACACTAATACATTGTTGGTGGAGTTGTGAAATGATCCAACCATTTTGAGAACAATTTGGAACCACGCCCAAAGGGCTACAAAACTGTGCATACCCTTTGATCCAGCAACAGCACTTCTAGGGCTATATCCCAAAGAGATCAAACAAATGGGAAAAGGACCCACACTACAAAAATATTCATAGCAGCTCTTTTTGTGGAAATTGGAAATTGAGAGGATGCCCATCCATTGGGGAATGGCGGAGCACGTTGTGGTATATGAATGTAATGGAATACTATCGTGCTGTAAGAAATGATGAACAGGCTGACTTCAGAAAAACCTGGAAAGACTTATACGGTCTGATGCTGAGTGAAGGGAGCAGAACCAAGAGGATTTTGTATACAATAACAGCCACATTATGTGATGACTAAGATTGTTAAACTGAACCCTCCTCGGCATTATGAGGATCTAAGACATCTCCAGAGGCCTCAGGATGGAAAATGCTGTCCACATCCACAGAAAGAACTATGGAAGTCGAATCTCTCTCACTTATTTTTACCTTCTGTTGAGTTTTGTTTCATCTTTCTGATGGTTCCTCCTATTGGTTTTAGTTTTTACTTACAACCTCACTAATGTGAAAATATGTTTAATGGGAATGTAAATGTAAAGCCTATGTCAGATTGTGCGCCATCTTGGGGAGGGTGAGGGAGAGGAAGGGGGAGAGAAATTTTCAACTCAAAAGCATATGGAAGTGATGGTTGATAAATCAAAATAAATTAATAAAATTTTTTATTTAAAAAAAAAGATGGGAAACTGCGAGCCAGAGAGGGAATGTGAAGGTGCTGAGGTACCAAGACCTATAGGCAGCAGAGGCCTCTGCCTCGCCCTGCAGTGCTGGAGATCTTGAGCCCCAAGGGTGCACTGAAAAATTAGGCAAAGATTGCAAGCTACCATCCCAACTGGAATACTTCATTAAAAATATTTTTGAGATCATTGAAATAAATGTCAGTGCACAAAGTAGCATAGTGATTTCTCCATCGCTCTCCCTGTCTTAGTACAATCCTTTGTTTATCGATTCATTCTTATTTACATTTAGGAGGTGGAGTGGGATGGAGCACTGGGCTTGGAGTCAAGAAGATCAGAGTTTAAATCTGGTCGCAGACACTTACCAGCAGGGTGGCCCTGGGCAAGTCACTTCACCTCTGTTTGCCTCAATTTCCTCAGCTGTAAAATGGGGACAATAACAGCACCTGCCTTTTGAGGTTGTTCTGAGAATCAAATAACATAATATGACATGACACATAGTGGGTGCTGTAGAAATGCTTATTTCCTCCCCTCCTTTTTATTTTCTCTTATACAGTATATGTTCCATCTGAGGGACGTAAAGATTTATTTCATAAAGATCTCTCCCGATTTCTTTCTGTTCCTCAGATGAGCTGATCTTAATTGCATTACGGAAGTTCCTTACAATAACATGCCGTAGTCTGTCTGTTCAACCACTCACTCATTGTTGGAGTTGCTTCCGAGTTCCTCTGGTTTTGGCTTCCAAGTCTGGGGGATTTCTTTTGGTTTGATTTTTTTTTTTTGCGATTACACATAATGCTACTATTACAACCTTTGGGTCAGAAGTTGGGCGTTTTGGTCATTTTCCTTTTGCTAATACCATCAGGCAGGGTCAATTGCTAACGATGGAACCATTTTGTCAAAGGGGGTGATTATTTTAATAATCTTGCCTGTGTGCCACACAGAGAAGGAATAATAAAAGTGTGTAATAACGAAACTAAGGCATGTAGTGCATTTCTCAGAATACTGGGACCCACAGAATGCTCATTCCACGGGAGAAGTTTCCAGGACTCCGTTTCCCTTGAGACTCTGTGCCTGCAGCACTGGCAAGTCGTGTTGTAGGAAGACAAACTGAGCAACAACCCTGGGAAGAAGAGGAGAAGCCAGCCAGCGGATTTGGCGTCAGCGACATCTAAGGCTGCAGTGGTAGCATCCATCCACGTGGGGGCGCAGCATGCTCCTGAGACAGAGACAAAGATTTCTCCCCCTTTGTTAGGAAATTGTAGTCCTGCAACAGCTATCTTTGTGGGGAAGGAGGGGAAGAAGTGTTGCGATATGTTTTTCTTTTGCTTAGCCTTCTGCTCCAGTTAAATACTTTGCTTTCTTAATGTGTACTTCCTGCCTGCTCTATTAACAAGGCAGAAGTTGACTTCAGATGGTCTCTGAGTGGGGGCTCAGCTTTCACGGTCATTTCCACTTTTTATGTAGCCACAACTGTATTTTTTAAACGCCAACAACAAAGAGTCACGTGCCATCTCCCTCTCCTTCTCACAAAATACTCTACGACTGACGGTGAAGGTGGCAATATTGTGCCCCTGTTGAGATCCCCCATTCAACAACTCAAATTTGACCTCGCTGGTGCCTCCTGCAGTCACTAAGTTGTCTGCTTCAGTCATGATTAGGAGGAGAGACTTCACTGATTTAGTCTTACTTTTGCTGGCTTTGATTTTCGCTAAAAAAAAAAAAGTGGATATGTTTATGCAAGAGATGCACTTAAAAAAATCCAAAACTTTTGGCCATTACTTTGAGCCTCAAACCCCAGAAGAGTTAATCCTTCCCGGGTAGACACGGCCCCGTAATATTTTTTAATATGATTTTCCTGTTAATTCTTAACTTGGCCAACATCAACAAACACTATTGTTTCCACATACAAAGAACAGAAAAAGAGGATTGCATCTGAAGCCCTACATCTCCATTTCATACAGTTTGCACTGTTTTTCAAAATTCTATAATAAATTCCATACATCTTTTCCTGCTCCTCTCTCTTCTGTTCATTTAATGCTACAATAATTCTCTTTTCTTTCTTTCTGGTTGTTTTCTTTTTCTTCACCACCCTCACTATTCCCTTCTCTCCCCTACATCTTTCCTCCCCCCATCAAGAAAACAAACAAATCTTTGTCACAAGCATATTCAGATAAAACAAATGCACACATTGTGTCCCCTGCCCCCCAATCTGGAAGAACGCCTCCTTATTAGGTACATTATAATCCAAAATACTGCCCAGGGCTTAGGACATTGCCTGGCACACAGTGGGTGCTTAATTAATGCTAATCGAGTGATTGACCTTCCTCACATTGAATTAAATTAAATTAAATCCAAGTTGAATGGAAAATGAGTTACATCCAAGGGGATTTATCTTGGATTTTAATGCATTTGGGGGAGTCAAGTTGAGACTAATTGTACTCACGTCCTTTTAGTTGGCCACATTCAAAGTCTGTTTCTTTTCTGGGAAAATACTACTAACAGACCTGAAAAACTGGCTTCAAGAAACAGCTGTCTAACTGTGGAGGTAATGTTGGATAACTGTTTCAAGGCAACATTATGTCATTGTGAGCCCCAACGGCCTTGCACAAATGTGTGTGTGTTGAAAGGTCGTTGTGTAATTATGCTGAAGTGGTGAGTCACCATGGCTTCTCAGGTGGTTATTAGAAGCCTAGTGCTTCAACTCGTGTGACCGCTTGGAAGGATACCCACTGCATGAGATG